TCAAAAGTTCTGTTAGGTGAGACCCCTCACACTATGGGTTTAGCCTTTCTGACATCACCCTTCGGTACCCTCCCTGTGCTGAACCCTGCACAAGCTGCTCAGGTAGCTGCCCTCTCCTGCTTCTCTCTTCTGCATCTTGCCTTTTCAGGATTGGGGGTGTTGTTGGATTTCTGCTTGCTACTGTGAAATCCTGTTTGATACTCTATTGTACTGCCTGCTGTTTTGCATTTTAATTTACCATTTTATCCCACTGGCTTCCCCACCCAATTTACCTCACTGAAGTGAGAGTGGAGAGTGTGTTCATCTTTGAATCTTGAACACTGGTCTAGGCTTGAGGATATGATTATGAAATGTAGACAGAATGAATGTATTTCTGAAGCAAAACTGGTAGGAATGGTTTCTGAATTGCCAGTGCTTTGTGGTGGACAAAAACACACAGTGGGAGGAGCAGGGTGTGTTTTGTGTTTGCTTTAAACTAATAGCCATATATTCTATCCTAAGTGTTTGTATACACAATCTCATTTAAACATCTTTCCACGGGGAAATAGGTATTGTCACCGTCCCATTCTTAGAGATAAGGAAACGGCTGCTGACAGAAATATGTTTTCATGTCATAAAGCTAATCAATGGCAAGGCCCCTACCTCAGTTAAGCGTTGCAATAAAATTCCATACTTCTGAACATGGTGAGATTCTTGGGAAGCACTTTGAAGATGGATTAATAAAGTTGGAAACTATTTTTAAAACTCATGCTTCCTGTCTCTACATAGGAGACAATGGAGTGGAGTTTGGGTCATCATATATAAGTCTTCTGTTCTCCAGCTTTCAAATAGCAGCAGGCCCTGCCCAGGCACTGGATGCTATGTCTCCTGCCTTCACAGAGCCTTCAGTGTAGTTAGAACAGAGGCTCAGAAGGGAAAGAACAAATCATGGAAATAAAAATAGTGTATCTGGACGAGTAGCAGATGTAGAATTCAGGTAAGCCAGGACTTGGGGGAATGCTGGTGAGGCTGGAGAGGAGGCAGGATTTCACATAGAACCAGTGTGCTGAAAGCCCCGAGATTGCTTAGACAGCCCCACTTTTAAGACATGTGAAAAACAGCTACACAAGATCAATCATTGCTCTACTTCCTGGTATCTATGGATGCCCAGGACTGTATATTCCCCTCTTTTGTGCAAAGTAGCACCACCTAGAAAGGTAGCAGCAGTGTCATAGGGATTTAAGAGAAAACCCAAGGCACAGGAGACATGAAGTACTTTGCCCAAGTTGCACAGCTATTAAGAAGGTGAAACTCAGATTGTGGCCTCATGATTCCCAAACTTGCTCCAAAAGCGCTGACTCACCCTGGGCGTCCTTGCTGGGGCCCTGGCAGCAAGTCCACAGTAGAGCGGTGTCTGACTCTGGTGGGTCTGTAGCTCACATGTGCCTCCTGTGCTCATCGCAGTCTCTGGGATTCCAGGAAAGGGCTGGCAAGATTCCCGCCCCCTAAGCTCCTTTCCATCTGCCCCATGTGCTGCCCTCCCCAGTGTTCCAGCTCTGTTTGGGATACAGGCCAGCAGTGTGGGAAATGACAGTTCTTCCCAGCAAACCGCCTCTTTCCTTCTTCCCTTCCCTGACCACCCACTTCCTAGAGGTTCCCAGGGGGGAGATCTGTCATCTCACCAGGGACAGCTCCTTCTCCTGGCAGCACCCTGAAATCAGAGGCGGGTGTCCTCAGGGTACCTCTGGTTAAATTCCAAGGTGCCTGACCTCTGAAGCCGGCTTTGCATGTTTCTGAACCTTTCTCTGCCCATGCTGCATAGCCATCCAAGTACATTGCCATTCTCCCCCCTCCTCCCACAGCACAGACCTTGTTTTGTTGTTTTAATCGTTTTTCCTTCTTTGTCTGTGGGATATTTACCTTTGCAAATTTATGTGCCCACTTTGCCTCAGGGTTGTATGTGTGGTGTGCTTTTGTATATACTTTCTGCAGTTACAGTTCTTGAGGGTAGAGTCTTGCTTATTGGCCCAGAATTGATCATAAAGATCAAGACTCGCCAGGACTTTTGTTTTAGTGAAGAGGTAGATATAGCAAATGCTGGAATTCCCTTCAGCTCTACTCTCTGAAGTCCCACCCAGCTGAGTGTGTTTATAGAACATAGGAGGGGCTGGTGTTCCAGAGTAGAACTGCCTGAGCTGTTTGGATTCCATCACTCTAGGGTTAGATCTCCTTGTACACAATTTGTGGTCTCTAGCCCTAAACTTCCATCACCTGTGATGAAAATAGCCTTGTGTTGGGGGTTAAGTTTCAAAGGAGCTAATGCATATGAAACTCCGGGCATGGCACTTAGGGCTGTTCACCCAGTCTTGCCTAGTTCCACACATTAGGTCGTCTTATATGTTTCTTCATTTCAAATAGTGTTTTTCCAAGTGGACTGTAAGGCATATAATTTCTGGGCATGTAGGTCTGGATGGCGATGGCAGAGAGCACCTGAACAGTCCTGGAGGAGTATTTGTGACTTAAGAATAAATAAGGTCATTTGCAGACTTTTTGGCTCCATACAAGTCAGGACAAAATGAATGAGTTTTGAAGCAGAAAACACAAAGGGTTCCTAGGAAGAAAGCAAGATTCTAGGGTATTGACACTAAAATCCAGCCACTGTCCTCAGACTACAGCTCAGGATCAGGGTGATGTCATGGCTATCTCAGCTGTGACTTCTAATGATGGCCACCTCTGGCCACATAGGCTTTAATATCCTGGTCACATTAGGGCTGCAGGAATCTCACTTAGACTCCCTGAGTTCCCATCCCATGTGTACTCCATGTGTTTGTGTACATTTCCTAGCCTATGCTTTCACATCTGGCAGACAGCTGTTATCACATGTGTGGTGATGGGTGTCCATCAGTGGCATAGATGAGATTGATAGGGTACCACGGGAATCCAGAGACTAAAGGGCTATAAGGGAAGTGCGAGGCAGCCAGGATGACAGATGGGACTTTTCACATTCTGCTCCTCATGGAAACTGCTGTTCTGGGCTGTTGACTTGCTAACGTACGATTGTGGGTCTAGTTAATGACACTGATTGTATACTTACAAGACAGTTAGATTCGAAATGGTACATATACTTTATCACATTTTGTAAAAAATAATGTAGCATATCAGAACCATTGAATTCTGTGTATGTATAGTGGATACGTGTGCATGCAAGATTGGGAGGGAGGACCGGGTTTCACTTGCCTATTTTCATATACAGAAGCCAGTGGAGGACATTAACTGTAGGTCTTCAGATCTACTCTGTCTTATTGCATGGAGACAGGGTGTCTTACTGAGCCTGGGCTCTACTTTTGAACTATCCTGGGTAGCTAGGAAGCCCTAGGAATCCTTCAGTCTCAATTTCCCACAGCACTGGGATTATAGGTGCCTGTGGCTATACCCAGCTTTTTTTACTTAGGTTCTAGTGATGTCTTTGTCTTGCTCAACAAACACTTTTATGTACTGAGCCATTTTCCCAGGCCCTGCTGTATTCTTGAAATAGGTGGGTTGCAGAAACATGAATTCTATTCCAAGGAAGCTCTTAAAACGTGTAAGGTCATTTGAATAATAGTTTCCTATCTGTCATTAGCATAGAATTTTCACTTACGTTGTTATATTTAAATTATTTAACATTCTAACAGTAGGTAAAAGATTTAATTTTTAATTGCTTTTTTTCTCTTACTTTCAGAACTTTATTTTGACCAAATTTCTAACTTACAGAGCGATTTGGAGACTCGATCAGCAAAATTCATGTTCACAATCCAGATTCACCTTTGCTGAGAGTAACCCTGGTTCCACCTGTGCAAATGATGGCTTGTTTCATTGTTTTATCTTTCTGTTTTGTTTATTTCTCTATTTTAAATGCTCCTGTGTTTGCTCTTTCTTGGTCCCTTGCAGTCTGAAGCTTTTGCTGTCCCATCATGTACTGCAACCATGCTTCATTTCTTTGATAGATTCATTTGTTCATGTTCTGTGGGTTTGTTCTTCCCACTCCCTACCCCCAGGGCTGCCTTTTGTTGTTGTTTTGTTTCTTCTTTTCTGTCCTATTTCCCTCTCTCTCTCTCTTTTTTCTTCACCATCTTGGAACATTTTACTGTCTTATAGTTTGCAAACCTCACTCTTAAAACACACACACACACTTAAGGTTTTTAACATTCAAGAGTTATTTCCAATCTTTGATAGATATTTAAAATATCAACTCTGGCAATATTGTTAGTTGTTTTAACTTGGTTCTGTGTGTCCATTGTCTGTGTGCTTTGAACTTCGTCTGTTCCTTTGGTTTGTGCCACTTCTGCTAAAGATACTCTTGAACTGTCTGTGATTCTAGAATCTGTTCGTGATTAAGAGGGAGACACTAAAAACTGATCAGAAGGTCTTTGTGGACCTCAGTACTGCCTGTGGGCTTCCTTGGGAGCTGGAGGTGCCAAGACAGCCACATGGCTGGGAGTGGAGTAGTGAGTTTGGCTCCTGTGCCTGTGTTCCTGTCTGGAGCTCCCATTTCCACAGAGAATCAAATTGGCCAAGTGGAAGACAGGAAGGGTTTGTGAACTGGGGTCTAACTTCCTGATGTAGCTTTTTAACCAGCCCTGTAGCGGCAGACTCTCCCCCACCCCATACACAGAGTTTGATTCCTGAGCCCTAGGATTCCCTTCACAGGCTTCTCTTAGCAGGTGTGGGTAGGCACCCCCACCCCTGCCCTCTCCAGACCTCTCAGCTTTTCTTCCATCTCCCTGCCATTATGAAGTCGCATCCTTTTATAGTCATCAGCTGTCACCTAAGTGGCTTGAGGATGAGATGGAGGTAGATTTGTGTTTTAAGTCGGCCATGAGGGACCGTCTTCTCAGCTCAGGTGTTCTGGGCCCTTTCCACTGATGTCAGATGGTGAGGAGTGGACACTTGGAACAGTGGCTCGGCTCTCGCTGATGTTGCGCGAAGCCGCCAACCTGCTGCAGCTCCTTCCCTGACCATACCCTCCTGTCCTCTTGCAGAAGTGGGCTAGTGTCAGCAACCCTCTCTTCCTCCCGCTGATCCCACCACAGTCACAAGGCTTCACCGCCATCGTCCTCACCTACGACCGTGTGGAGAGCCTCTTCCGTGTCATCACCGAGGTGTCCAAGGTGCCCAGTCTGTCCAAGCTCCTGGTGGTCTGGAATAATCAGAATAAAAATCCCCCGGAAGGTAAGAAGAATGAGGAGGGGCAGTTCTCGGAGGAGGCCCATTTGGGGCTTTCCTACACCCGTAGTTGCATTGACTTGGGGTAGACACATGCTTCCATCCTCTGCCAACCATACTGCCAGGCTAAGGCAGTGTGACCCTGCTGTTCAGAGACGTCTCACCAGTAATATTCTAGGGTGGCCTAGTGAACTCTGCACCCTGGCATACTCGGAGCCACAAGTGTTTGAGAGCTTAAGAGTCAAGGGGATCAAAGGCTATCTGCCTTGGGAAAACAGGTCTCAGCTTCCTTCTGCCATCCCAGCAGATTTGTTTACATGAAAACTCAGTTTAAAGGGCATTAGTTTTCTGTTCCCTTATCTCCCTTCTGATATTGAGCCCTCCTTCAAGAAAACAAAACAAAACAATACAGACAGTCCCTGTTCTGATTAGGAAGTCAGCTCTCTAGCTCCTGTAGCCTTGCAACCTAAAATGGATTCGTACAGGAGTTGGCTGGTTGCGCCACCACTTTGTCCCTGCCTCGGCCTGCCCTGTCATCTGCTGCAGCAGCTAGGGTTGAGGCCCGTTTGATGAATTGGATTTGTTTTTAATTCGGGACACACAAGAGTTCGTCCCACCTGCATTTAGCTTCTCATTCAGCCTGTCTATTACTGACCCTAATCCCAGGACTTCAAAGCTCTTTCCATTTAGAGCCTATTAAAGCCAGGAAGTTTCTGATGGATTAGAGCAAGGAATGGGTTTGAAGTTTGTAATGTGCACCGCTGTCACCGATAAGGTCTAGTTTATTGCCTGACAGTAGTATCTGTGCTTTTGATGGCTGGTCTCCTTTAACTGGTTACACTGAAGTCAGGACGGCCAACCCTGTAAGCCACCAGTGGTAGATCTAGAGCCCAGGATGGGAAACAGCCTTATTCCTCTCTCTGGGAGGCAATCAGAATTTGCTGGAGAAATTCTCTAGTGTCTCCTGACACATGTTTACTCTCTGTAAGAGTTCGCATGCTCTCCTTTTATATTAGAGGAGCCACAATTTATTCATTGTGTGTGTTAAGATGAATTATGTTTATGCCGGTACATGTGTGCCACAGCACAGATGTAGAGGTCTGAGGAAAACTTGTGTGTGTGTGTGTGTTCACATGTCTGTGTGTGTGGCGGTCATATCATGGCATGTGTGTGGCGGTCAGAGCACAACTGGAAAGACTGTGTCCTTCTGCCTATGAGTCTGGAAGATCAAGCTCGAATGATTAGGCTAGGTGGCAAGCACCTTCCCTGACTGACCATCCCACCAGCTCACATACCATTTTTTACATGAGTGCCTAGGTTCAAACTCAAGTGGGTATGTTGTTCAAAGGGGCCTTTACTTGCTGAGCCATCTCCCAGGCCCAGTAAATAGCTCTTTTAAATAAAAAAGCCCCATTATGTTATACCCCTCAAGCATAGCTGCATTTTTTTATTAGCAAGATATTTGTGCCAGGTTTTTCTTGTTATTTTAATATTAATATTTTTAAATTAATTAATATTTTAATTGTGACCAGTTTTCAGAATTTCTCTTTGATTGGCTGATTCTTAATAAGAAATGAAAGCTGGGTATGGTGGAGCACACCTAAAAATCCCACCCTCAGTGATGGTGAAGAAGATGGTGACAATAGTGATGCTGGTGGTGGTGACGATGATTATAATGATGATGATAGAGAAGGAAGGGAGTAAAGGAGAAGGAGATGGTGGCATAATCTAAGATGGAAGGAAACCATAAAAGAAATTTTAAAAGATTTATGGAGGGCAGGGATTAGAGAGAGCATCTCTTGGACCCCTGGCTTTGTCAGTTATAGCTGCCTTTTCCCAAAGATGTGAACGGGAGGTCCAAGTCCTGCATCGCTAACTTCCCCTTCACATACAGAGGATATACCTGCTTTAAGAAGGAAGAGACCCTTTCATTCTGTGCTCGTGCACATGAATTCACTTCTGTGTCTAAGGCATCTCAGAGGGGCCCATCCAGCCCCATTCTCAATCCCACCCACAAGGCCAAGTACAGGCTCTCCTGCTGGGTGATACAGATGCCGGTCACTGGATCTTTCCAGTGGCCAAAAATGTATTGACCTATCACTGCATGTCCCATAAGCACACACGGGTGTCATCGTCGGTCAAAAACAAAATAGAACATAAAGCCTGCCAAAGAGGCCTCTCCTGGTAGCCGCTTTGATGAGCTGTGGGTCTGAGTCACTCTCTGGGGACAGGTATGAAAGGAGAGGCTGTGTGTTCCCAGGCTCTGCCCGGGGAGATGAAAGGCAGAGCAAAGCCCTGATTTGGAGTGGAGCAGCACTGTTAATTTTGGTAGACCTTACTAAAATATAGTGGTTAATATAACCATGAATGTAGTTCAGTTGTTTTAATACTCTGGCTCTAAGGAGGAAAGAGTTTGATGAGGCCTAGGTTGTGGCGTGTGTTAGCTGGGCTGGCTGGTTTTTTGTGGGTAGCTTAAGTCAGGGCTCCAGCGTTGACTATGTGGTTGTTTGGGGAGAACATGGTGGCATCTAATCTACTCTGGGGTGTTTGTTCAGTTGCTAAGTGGGCTGTCAGCTGTGGCCTTTATGTCAGTGCAGGCATCAGACTTTTCATCCATATGTTAAAAAACGAAGAAGAAGCAGACAAGCAGAATGCTTTGAATATTAGAGGTGAAAGTGAGGTTTTTCACTTTCTCTACATTTGCTAAGATAAATATTGTGGTTAGCATGTCTGCTGCTGGGTGGATTAGTAAAGGCAGCAATCTACTCCTTCCCAGTTTTTTTTTTTTTCCAACCCAACCAAATACTTTCAACTTTGGGTTACAGTTAAGTCTAAATTGCTGGGTTTAAAGTTTAAGTAAATATGTAGGCTAGGCAATAGAAATTTCTAGTGAGATTTTGTCACATCGGTTTTGAAGTGTATCAAAAGAAAATGCCACTATCATCCTCCTCCCCAGCTCTTGGGCTCTAAACTTGATGGATGTAGAGGGTGTTTACCTGGTCATGCACACTTTGACCAGGTAAAGCCAACTTGTCGGGGCCTTGTTTGTTTGATAAGCTTCTTTGGGAAAAAAAGATTTTGTATAGTATGTTTTGATCATATTTTTCTCTTTCCCAGTTCTTCCCATATCCTCACCACCTCCCTACCCATCCAAATTTATGTTTTCTTTCGCCCTCTAAAACAAAAAAACAAAACAAAAAAAAAATAACAGTAACATACAAACTCTCAAAAGCAGAAGTCAAAAATTAAAAAAAAAAGCAAAAGTCAGTTAAGACAAAAAATGCCCAAGCAAAATAAAATGAGACAAAATATCTACAAAAATACCATTAAGTTCATTTTGTCTTGGGCAGCTACTCCTGGGCATGGGGCCTGCCCTGAGTATGGTTGATAGACTGAGTGGGACTCCATTGGAGAAAATCAGTTTTTCCTTTGCCAGTGGTTATCTATTACAGATAGTTTCTTGCTTAGGAATGGGAGCCCATGTCTCAGAACTGGAATCCTATCCGGTTTAAACCTATGCAGGCCCTGTGCATGCTGCCACAGTCTCTGAGTGCATATTGCGTCAGTCTTGTGTCAGAAAGGACTTTCCTTGGAGCCATGCATCACCTCTGGTCCCTGCTCAGAAAGACAGAAAAGAAGCTTATCCGAGGTAGGTACAAACAGCAGTAGAATCCCAAGTTCACACACAACCCCAAGGGTTGGACAAAATGATTGCTTGTGAGGATCTGCCCACAGGAGCTTTTGTGAGTCATCAGTGTAGTCAGTCTACTGAAGAACAGACCCACCTGCTGATAGAAGCAAATTCCGAATTCCAACAAATATATCTTTACCATGTGCACATTTCTGTGCCCATTATTGCCATTTCAATCCAAATCACCATCACGAAGACCTGGGCATGGAATGAGTACATTGGAAGAAATGTCTAAGTCTGAACCAGTACAGGGAAGATTTCACAAGGGAAGGTTCTCGAAATATAAGTAGGAGTTTTCTAGGAGCAGGAAGAGTATTGCAAAGGCTCAGAGTCATGAAAGGTGTCCTGTCCACGTATACCACGCACAGATAGGATAGAAAAGATCACAGAGATACAGAGTATCTGGTTCCCGTAGAAGCCATTGAGAAACCTCACCTCAAACTTCTGCGGCAGCTTTTCATTGCCCTCACTTCCTTCGAGTGGCACAGGCACACTTTCAGTCTTTCTGTCTCCTCTTCCACTTAGATCCCTGAGCCTTCAGGGAAGGGCTTTGATGAAGACATCCCACTGGGGATTGCATGCTCCAAAGTCTCTCACTCTCTGCACATTGTCCAGCTGTCAGTCTCTGTATTAGTTACCATCTGCTGCAAGAAGAAGCTTCTCTGATGAGGGTTGAATGAGGCACTGATGTATCAGTGAAGCGTCATGTCATTTGGAGCCATTTTATCGCTGTGTTCCTTTAGCAGAGCAATAGTGTGTGGTTCCCCCCAGGCCTATGACTTATCTATTCTAAGGTTCTTAGCCACCTAAGCCGTTTCTGGTATGGACTCCACCCCATGGAGTGGACTTTAAACCCAATTAAAAAGTGGGTGGTTACTCCTATAACGTTTGTGCCACTGCTGGGCCAGTATACCTTGGAGGCAGGTTGCAGGCAGGTTACTCTTTTGGGTTGCAGGGTTTGTGCTGGGTGATGTTGATGATCACCTTTCTCCTAGTGTGCAGAGCACCTTCCAGTACCATGGACACCAGTCAGTAAGGGTAAAGCTTCTAGATAGACGCCAGGTTGAAAACATCCGAGATAACTAACCAAGCAAGTGGAAAACACGTAAAATAAAAACTTTAAGGCATTGAAGAAAGAATTTGAAGAAAACACCAGAAGATAGAAAGATCTCCCACACTCATAGAGTAATATTGTGAAAATGGCCATCCTGTTTGTCTTAGTTACTATTGCTATGAAGAGACACCATGACCGAGGCAACTTCTTAAATGAACCATTTGGGGCTCATGGTTTCAGAGGGTAGTAGAATCCATGATC